AGGAGTTCTTCCATCTCTGAAAGAGCTTTACGAAAGGACCCATCGAAACAAGACTGGGCATTTTGTAGATCCTAGATCCGAACGAATCTACAACGAGGTTGTTGCTCAGGTTAACCACCGCCAGACCCAGCTGAATCAACGGTCTGGGACACCCGTCATATTATCCACTCATGAAGTGGATAAGATTTACGAGGAGGTAAAGAATTTGTTTTCTTATTAATTTTTATTATTTATTTAATTTATTTTTTAACGTTATTAATTTTTTTATTTAAAGGTCGCCCCTAGGAAAAAGGGACGTATCGTCGGGATTAGTTCCGTTAACGATGTCCCCACAGCGACATCGTCTTATGCTCAGGAACAGCACGATGTCACTACTCAGCTGCGCTCGGAGTTGCAGGCGACTCAGTCTCATGTGAGTTCTCTCTCTGATATCATGGACGTTATGGCGGTTGGAAACCCGCAATTGGCGGAGATGTTGTGTGTTAGACAGGAAAACGGAGGGCTTCCACTGTCACAGTCACAACCGACGACGACCAACATGGACGAGGAGGAGTTGGCGAACTGGGATGACGACTTCGTTCGTCAATTTAACGAGCACCATCCGTAGTTTAGTTTTTTTTTTTTTTATTCTATTATAAATTTAATACTTAAATATTTAGTTATCTATAATATATTTTGTTGTTTTTTTTTATTTTTAATTTGGATTTTTAATTTTTTAAAAATATATTATTTATATTTATTATAATTATTAATTTTTTAATACAAAAAAAACATATCGAAGTAATTTTCTCGTAATATATTACAACGTGTTTACGTGGATTATGTTTCGAGGCTTTTACGAGGAAACTTTAAGTGCCTTTTACGAGGAAACCTTACGAGGAAATATGTCTCCACGTTTTTACGATGAAACGTTTCCTCGTAAATTTACTAGAAAATTACAAGGAAAAGGGCTTTACGATGACTGTGTTACGATAAAACACCTTTCCTCGTAGTTTCCTAATAAAGTGTTCTTGACTAGAAAATTACGAGGAAAAGCCGTCCTAGCAAAAATCGTGTTTTTTTTGTAGTGTATATAATTATCAGTTTAATGGTATTGATGCTATAGGATTAGACAAAATGTAAGCTATATATGGCATACATTAACAAAGGCTAGCAACAGAAATTAAAACATTACAGAATACAACAAATTTGGATGCCGACATTTTAATTTTCTTACTCTAAATGAATGCTTTTGTTTTTACTGTAGAAAGTCTTAGATGTGAAAAATATACATATATAAATCACTGAATATATTTTCGAATTATCTTGAAAAGCCATTTTAAATTTATTGTTTTGTTTTATTTCTTCATGTCCCAAAATTTATGTTAAAATTTATTAAAACATTCAATTTAGTTTTTTTTGTACAATTTGTTACCACCATAACTACCAATTAACGAAAACCTTAGATATAATAATGTTGAATGATTAATATGTGCATAAAATAAACTAGCAATAGATTAGCTATCAATTTTAGCATTTACTAATTTCTCATTAATACCTTTAAATGTGAACATGTATATATGTCTCTGAAAAAATGCTATATGATAATTGAAAGAACCTGAAATTGGAATTATTGGTTAGTTTTATAATCCTTATATCTTAAAATTATGTTAAAAAGTTGTTCCAAATGTTCATTTTAGTTTTTGATAAGGTGTATCACAACCTAAAAGTATCAATTAATGACAGAAATATATGTTGGATCATTCCAACCTTGTAAAAGCTTAACATATTATTAGATGTTTAATATGTTAAGGATAAACACAAAAATAAAATCTAGAAATAAGAAAATAATTTGTTTTAGTATATTAGATTTATGTTTTCATATACCACATGTTAATGGAAATTGTCTTTTATTATAAATATAGACTTAAAGTAGATTTGTTCCATAAGATAAAAAAAATCTAAGAAAAGCATTAAAAACTTTAGTTTTAAGTAGTTTCTAAAACTAATAAGGAAAAATTGTTCTTTATAATTCTTGTGTATCTAGAAATCTTAAAGATTTGAATGTATATATCTTTTTTTTTTGACATCAAACAGCTGATCTATTACTCAAACTTGAGGTGATCTGGGTAACCAGACCGGAATAGAACAACCAACGTACACAAGCTTGCGATAAAAGGACCTAGTTAACTTAGCTAGAGAATTGGAAAAGCTGTTCTGTAACCTAGGAACATAAAAAATCTTGAAGTCAGGAAAGCAGATCCTCAGTGTCAAAAGTTTTTCCAATTCCGTTGAGAAGGTGGGCCAGGCATGAGGATTTCTAAGCATCTGGATCATCTCCTTGCAATCAGTTCCAAAGCTCTGACATAGAAAATGTTGAATCATGTTCTCCATTGCCCACCGCAGTGCCTCCAGCTCTGAATGCAACGCCGATTCCACTCTATCAAAATTATGCATTCCCATTAACTGACCCTTACCCGAACTATCATTTAACACCCATCCACAACCACTGAAAAGATCAGCAGAAGTCCAAGATCCATCCACCATGCATATGTTTCCTAGACTTAGGGCCTGGTCTTCATCTATTCTGTTCCCAAGGGGGACCGATGTATCCTGCTCATTTGCTTTGAACCAGGCTTGACACTCACTTTCTGCATAGCGCGCGATTTCCAATGGGTCTCTATCAATACCTCTCAATAGCTTATCGTTCCGAGCCTTCCAAATGTACCATATTAGCCAAGGATAAGGATCCCTATCCATTTCTGGTTCCATTATGGCATTTTTCCTCCAGAATAGATAATCCATGTTCGCGTACGTGCTATGTGTCGGAAACAAAGCCTGATTGGTAGGTGTAGATGATAATGCCCAAAATTTTAATGTAGGTGGACATTCAAAGATTGCATGTGTGATCGTTTCCTCGGGTTCCCCACAACGAGGGCAGTGGTTATCACATCTTGATATCACTCAAATGTTTAACCCTAAGTGAATTACTCTCTCAAATAAGAGGTTCAGTTGTAGCACTTAGGGATCGAATCCACAGGGAACTAAGGAATGCAATAGATATAATTTAAATGAGTATGCTAGGTTGAAAAGGTTTAAAATAGTAAAGTTGCAGTTTATAAGCAATGGTAAGTTTCTTAAGAGAATGGATTTTAGGTTTGAAACAATAAAAGAAAATAGTTAGATTCAAGGTTGCTATTCAGGTAATCAGGATTATAATGCTACGGATGTTTTAATGAATTGCTTGCAATATATATGAGAACTTTGATTCTTAGATAGATCTAATAGCGGTCGCTAAATAGACACATCCATTGATCTTATTTCCAGCAATATCGACCGATGTTTTGACAGCGATATCGGACGATATGGGTTGTTGTCGATCGATGACTCTATAGCAGTATCGATCGATATAGCACAAGATCGAATCAAATCTGTGTTCACCAAGATCATAGACCGGCTCTCTCACAACCCTAGAGGATCTAAGCTTATGCCAAATGATTTCAGGACAATGATAAGCAAGTTAAATCACATCCATGATCATACTCTAGGTAGCTACTCTAGAGTAAGCATTAGGGTTCACTTGGATAATGAATATCAACAATTCAACATTCCATAGTTGGGGCTAGTCCCTCATAACTATTTGAACTCTAAATCTAACAAAGAGATCTACTCAAACATAGCTGAGAGATTCATAACAACTAGGTAATAATAGAAACTCATAGATAAAGGATTGAAATTTTGGTTCTTGGAACAACAAATCTCTTTGTGTGTTTCCTCTAGATCTAGAATTCTATAATTTAGAAATTAAGATGAAAAAAAATACTTTATAGAATAGAACAAAGTAACAAGAAAAGTATGCAAAGCTTTTCAAGTACAAAAGGTATTAAAACACACAAAAAGCATGTAAAGAACAAGAAAGCATGTCTAGCCAAACACAATGGCAAAAACTATAAATAAGAGTTCCATTAGGTTAAAAACTCGTCAGGGGCATTTTTGTAATATTGGGAAGACTTGGGCTTTAAGTCGGCCAAGTTGAACTTGTTCTCCACGCATCGTATCGATCGATAGTACATGGTGTACATCGATCGATGGAGTATCTTGACTTCATCTTCAATAGAAGCGTCATCGATCGATTACATAGGGTGTGTATCGATCGATATGTGTCCTCATTGTCTGATCTTCATAGTCATCTCAGAAAACTCTCATTTAAGCTCCAAAAGGGCACCTAAATCATCATTTTACTCCAAAATGCTCCTGAACCTGAAAACATACCTAATAGACTCCAAAACATATATAAAACTCATAAAAACATATCAAAACCATGGCTAAAAGCGGGTCAAAATCATGGTATATCACATCTCATATGTCTGTAGTTTAAGATGCTCGTAATAGCCACATGTCATGTTATCAATTGCCACATAAGATGACAAATCTTTTGAGGAGCCCTGGCCTTCCAGGCATGTGCTTGGAGTTTTTTGATACTAGGCTCGCATACAACAGATTCCTCCATCTTCATCAAGATATTTTGTGTTACCTAGTATCCAGATTTAACTGTATACTGCCCAGTCCTTGTATAGCTCCAACCACTACAAGAAATGTGGATAGTAATAGCGGACGGAAAACGCTATTATTCATTTATAATAACGCTTTCTTATTCGCTCCGACATCGCCCATTATAATAGGTCTGACCCTTTTAATAGTAGTTTTTTTCTGTGTTATAATTAAACGTACAACAATAGCGCATTTTTATATGCAATTGTTAATAAAAATTCATTAATCGGAAATTTATTAAAATAAATTAGGAATCGAAAATTTATTAAAATAAATTAGGAATTGATAATACCTATAGAAGTTTGTTTATTAATTAAAATCAGTTTACAGATATATATATATATATATATGTAAAATTAAAAATGAAATTTTATTTATTAATTCAAATCAGTTAACAAATAAAATCAATTTTACAAAACTAAACCAATACATATAAAACAAAGACTAATTCAAACACATTAAACCAAAACCTAATTAACAGTACTAGACCTAAACCAAGCCCCGCCTTCCTCAAGGCTTATGCGTCTCTTCCACCTTCCTCTAGTCTGTATGCCTCCTCCACCTTTATCAAGTTTCTGCAGTATCTGAAAAGCTGAAACGAAGAGACACATAAGAACATGAAGAACAAAAGATCAACACATAATAAGATGATAACAGATTTATACAATTCCTCGAAAATTTAAATAAGAAAAAACATAGGATTAGAGCCTCACCACAAGAGTAAATCATTAAACTCAGTGGGCAGATTTGAAAGCTTCTTACAAACATCCGTTGTAGTGATGGCTATAGCAGCAGAATCTGCCATGTATATATCAAATACTCCTTAGTTGAAAAGAGTATGTAAGTTGAACTATGAAAGGATGCTCCACCAAGTAAACAGAGTCCTCTATCTCTCGTAAAGTGCGTGCTCATCTTAAAAGGCTCGTGAGTCCGTGACAAACAACATCTCTTCCCAATAACATGAGAGAAATCAAGTTCAACATCATATTTCAATAAGCACAGGCCAACATCATGTTACTAAGTCAAATCTATGAATGGACCACAAAATAAATTTAAACACCCAGATAAAACCTGTCTCATAAAGATTCAGAATTGGACTAATGAAATGGTGAACTGAATGACAAAAAAAAGAAAAGAAATGAAATAAGAAACGAATTGAGTAGGATTAAGTGAAACTTGTCACCTTTAACAATACTCAGAAGGAGTAAACCAGTGAAGTAAGGAATGAAGATTATGAATCGCCACAGAGATGACAGTACTCCCGTTGGAGGCTCCATTCAACTTTCTTCTCCTATCTGATATAACCCAGAAAAGTTCAGTGAAAATGTCTCATTTATAAAAATCAATTTCGAACCCTAGAATCAGAGAGGAAACGGTAAGGTAAAGCATAGATAATGAGAGAAGAAAGAGACAAACTGTCACAGATTTGACTTATTCTGTAAATCATTGGAGACCTAGCCATCGCTGATGGTATTGAGAGAAGAGAGGTAGCGGTCTAGAGCAGCTTCAGACAACGAGAGGCTGACCGGCCGAACTCCATCTCTTCTCTATTCTCCCAGTCTCCTCTCCTCTCTCTCTCTCTTTCTCTCTCATTGGGTTTGAGTCATCCCGTCCACCGTGGAATGCGCCGGTGATGATACAGATTGACGGCACTGGAGCAGGGGCTGGCCAGAAGGAGTAGGCCATAACCATCGATTGAGAAGAGGAGAGTAACTCCAAATGCCCTTATGGGAAAAATTTCATTCTCCTTATCCCCTCTCTATTCCCATTACCCCTTTCTATTTGGATTTCCTATATTAACCCTTATTTTTTTAATATATTTACTAGGTGGACGGCCCGCACGCTTGTGCGGACATTAATATAATCTATACATTGCATAAATAAAATAAAATATAATGTATAAATATATTGTACCTTTCTTTCTCTTTTACATAGATACTCTGTTTTTAATATATTTTCTATCTTACTCATTTCGTTTCTCCTTGTATTTTTTCACACATTCGTTTTCTTTCTTACGTATGTCTCTTTGCATTATTTTTGTATGTCTTTGTACACCTCCCTCGCTTTTTTTTTCTCTCTCTCTTAGTTGATCAAATAATCTCAAAATCTCTCAAACTTACATTTACTCTCTCACAATCACCTATATTCATTCTCTTACCCTCGTCCTTAATATGATCCTCGATATTTCACTTTAAAACTCTTTCGATATCTCTTTAGTTGCAAAATTTTCACCAGATTTTATTAAATCTTCAAAACACTTTCACATAGTATTAATAAATGATTTCAGAATCTATCTCACTTATATTCAGTCTCTCACTTATATTCACTTTCATCTTCACTATGATCATAACCGACTCTCTAATCCTTATCACCACCATATCCCCCTCTCTTTCTCCCTTTCTTACATATTTTTTTTTATTTAGAATTTAATATTTAATATAAAATCACAATTGTCTAACCAAATAAATTCATTATCAAATTCTCTCTAATCTTCACACTATGTTATCAAACATTGATTCATTTGACCAAGATTTTCATTGAAAAAATAAATATCTTATTATTAATTTTGTTTTTTAATTACTTCATTACATACATATTTTAAGTAAATCTAAATAACTGTATTTCAAAAAAGGAAAATTGATTAAATAATTATATAACATAAAATATCTTAATTCTTAAATGATGTGATGTCATTATTTTAGACATGGAATAATATAAACATGAGATTTAACAGTTTTAATATATCAAATAACATGTTTCTAGTTGTAAATTTTGTTATAACTTTGTTATCATATATTTTAAAAGTTGATTAGACCAAAAAAAATACTTATCATTACTTTAAAATAATTAATTTTAAATTTAATTTGTGTTATATTTTGCATCTTCAACATTAACAATTTTATAACTTATCATTTATATTTATCTCCTTGCTCAATTCTATAAACACCTAAAAATAATTATTTTACAATTATATTAATATGTAAAAATATTTTGGTATACAAATAAAAAATTATGTATGTACAAATACAAAATAACGAAGAATACAACAAAAGGTTTTATTATTATTCACTCATGTTTTTATTTATGTCTTTTATCTTTTTTCTAATTAAAAATAAACTTGCAAATATTATTATACTTAAAGCTATATCAATTATATGAATAGAATATTAACTCTAGTCTTGTATTAATATAATGTTTTGATTTTTTGTAATTTTATTTTATAATAAACTTTTTCATTTATTCATATTTTTTTAAAAGACATACTATATAATTTTCTTTTTTAAATATAAAAGTACTTAAATAATTTTTGAAAGTGATAACTCAACTATACTATCGACATTTATTTCTGGAAAATGATAGATTTTTTTTTTTAATTTTACATTTGACTATTTTGCATTCATTGAACATATTTTAAGAATATATATATAGTGAGTGAGTATAAAAATATTATTAGTTTTCTGTAATGTATGATTTTTTATCCACTATTAATAGAAAAAAAATTAAAATCGTTTATATACTTAGTTCTATAATATAATATGTATTTATATGTATATTCTAAATTTTTATAATGGAATATGTGATATTTAATTGTTTCCATAAACAAATTATATTAATCCTATGTATTTAAGATGATTAATTGTTTGTTTGGTAATATATATTAGATTTGGTAATTCTAAGATTGGTTTCCTTTTAAAAAACTTTGACTAAATAAATAAAAATTCAAATGTCAACAACCAATCAAATTAAGAGAATTAATTCTACATTGCACCTATGAATGACACGTAAGCAAAATTCATTAAAGTGACTTCTCTTTTAATATATAGAGGGATATTTCTTTTCCTATTAATTTTTGAATTTTCGATTAAATATACTCACAACAACTAAATGGGGTCTACAAACAACCTTAACCAATCACAATTGCCCTTGGCCCACATGTCTTCATGTCTCTTCTCCTCTCTCTCTCCCCTCTCTCTCGTAAAGCTCTTCTTCCTCACCATTCTTGGCGATTTTGAAGCTCAAAAATCAGGTAATTTTTGTCCATTTTTCATGAAATCTTGTGTGAAATATCTTTTAAATGTTTG